AATTATTTTAAAAGTTTCTTCCCTTTTTTCTTCTCATAAGTTATACATGAATGAGAATGGCAAACATTTTTATGTTCACCAATATGAAAAAGTAAAGCAGTTTTAAGGAATTCAAATAATGGAACTCCAATTCTTGTAGCTGCCCAATTAGTTTACTTTTCATTTCTGTCACAGTTATATACATACTCTTGAGCCAGCTAATTCATTTTAAAAGGTATGAGCATTTCCTGGTGGGAAGCATAATCGTCTGTTTCAAAGAACCAGTATAAAGAATCAATTTTACAAGATCCTTACTATAAGAGTCCTTGGATCATGGCACTGTAGGTATAAAGTCTTCTTTGTTAAGATCCTTTTACTACATCCTCTTGGATGTTATTTTACCAAATAGTTTTTGGAGGAAAGCACAGATACAACACAGGACTAAAAACCATTCACTGTGTTCATGTCAGCACATCTATCCTGGTTGTCCAAAATTAGGTTTCTACCATCTTCGAAGTATTGGGAATTTTTTGAAAATATCTTTAAACTGCTATCTTGGATAAAAGGTATATAATTTTAACATATGGCTATAAACTTGCATTGTACATTTCATGAAAGCTAGTAAATTTTTTTTAAGGATTTACAATGTTAAGAATCTTAGCTTTATTTTTATTGAAAAATTTTCACATACCTAACATTTTTCAAATCTTGTCTATTTCCATTTTCAGCATGTTGAGCTATTCTTCCTTCTGCTTAATTCTACTTAACCCATCTACTAATGTTCACTAGAGAAAGCTAGTCCATTTACGGGTTTGTCTGAGTTGGAACAAGTTCTTTATTACATGCACAGGGAACTAACAACATGTAAAGTAGAATGTGTAGAACCATGGGGTTTAGGGGGATTGGAGGTAGGGAAAAATTGCATTATGTTCAAAACTCTGTCACAGGGAGTCAGTTCATGTGTGTAAAACTTACACCAAACAAAAACGGCTCCAAAAATATATAATGCTACTTCCATTTATCCCATTTGAATGCAGCTGGTAATTCTCAAAATGTTTTGTTGATTTGGGGAAGGGGGAACATATCTTACATGCACAGAATGCTTCAGAACATTTTCTGCTTGGCTACCCATCTGCCAAGTAGGCTGATGATCAAAGTCTGAAAGCAGCTGACAGTTCTTTAGGTCTACAGACACTATGCATGAAAAATCAGATTCTGTGTCAGCAAATACCTGAGAAAAAGAATACCACAAATGCATTTGAAAAAGTGTTTTTAAAGTTAGATAATAAATGTATAAAACTATACCAAGGAAATCATATCTTTAGAGAAACAATTATGAAATGAACAGGGACATATGAAGCCCTCCATTATGCCAATTTCCTTTAGTGGAATTTTTCCTTATGGGAGCAAAGCAGATGGGACGGGCTCTTAAGCAGATGCGTTTTTATCAAGTAGGACGCCACAACAATTCCCTGAGATGAGGTAAATATGCACATGCTCCCTTCAGGAAAGCAGTGCTCATCCACCACAGAACTCCCTCTGGTTTAGACATGGACTGAAATACCAAAAATATCAAGATATGTTAAGACAGTAGAAATTTAAGAATATCTGTGGATCTCTTTCTCAAGTCTACATTTTAACACTAAAAGTTCTTATCCTTGGCTATTTTTTCCCTCAGAATTACCTAGGGCTCATATTTACTGATAAAGTTTTTAAAATTCTAACCTGAATTCTCTGTTGACCTCTGACCCAACTACTAAAATTAGGCAAATTTGCTTTATAGTCACACTACAGTTGCTAAACTGTGGTATCACCAAATAGGAGATCTCCACAGAGAAGTATGGTGACTTGGCCCCTCGCCATGCAACCAGTGAAAAAATTAAGAGAAATAAGAGCCCTGCTGTCCTGAATGTTGACCTTGTGCTCGTCTCATGATACTGTAGTGCAAATCTGCCTAAATGTTTTGGAAAGTTCAGTATTGGTATGTGTTTGGAGGGAGTGAGATGAGGAGGCTGGAGTAATAGTAAAGACTAACAACTCAGGAGATGGGAGCAATAACTCTAAAAGCTTTACAGTAGTAAAAAAGCTGGATGTTCATAGGAAAAAATATCAGAATACTTTGAACTATAACAAGCATAATAGTGATGAGTAAAAATCCTTCCAGGAAGTCCTCCTTGAGTGTTCACATGTTCACTTCTTGACACATTTTAGTAAAATACACCAGCACTGACACATTTTTTAAATATAGCACATAACTATCATATACAGACAGTTCTGTTGTTCCTTACCCAGTCCCCAAAACGAAAAGCAACAGGTTACAGGTAGCCAATGCCATCTTATTCCTGCTCTTTTACAAAATAAACCAAATGCAAACCATTATTTTGCATGGAGCTTGTACTGCTAAGCTCACTTTTAGACGTTCATTTTTAATATGAAACACATTCAGAATGTTAGCATAATGCAGTTTACATTGTGAAACAATTTGTTCCTAAAACATGAATGTCCACATTTTTTTCTACTAATACTGCAAAATAAGCCACACATCCACAAGTGGTTAATTTGCTCCTCCTATAACTAGAGAGCTTGGCAGAAGTCAAACACCATCAAGTATAAATAGAATCTTATCACACCACCTCAAATAGTTCCAGTATTTCTAACTTCCAGACCACTAAAATATCCTCCCCACTCCTACGTTTTGCTCCCAAGATTCACTGCATTGTTTAAAAGTAGCGTATGGTTATGAAATTTAAAATACAGTAAGATCAAAATTAATTACTTCAAATAATTTTTAAACCAATACTCTGCACCCCCTTAGTGAGACGTGTTCCAAAAATAAAAAGAATCACAAAATTTGCACTTAATAAGTTTACTGTTGGTCATGATTTTGATGTAATTCTGAAATAATTTTAAATGTCTTATAGAATCAAATAAGTAAATACTGGTCTTGTTCAAACCCCAAGTTCTCCCCAGGAAAGAAGGAATATACAAATATGGGACAGGGGAGGGGAGGGAAAATGAATATTAAATTTGAAATGAAAGTATCAGAAGGAACTCGTGATATATAGAAAATGCATTTCCTGGCTCTGTTCCCTAAAAGGGCCTAGAAACAATGGCACTCCAGTAGCACCTAGATCTTGATTTCCAAATACCATCCCCCAAGAAAAGAAACAAGGCTCCTTCCTTGGAGAAATAGACAATTCCCAGTCTGGGGCAGGCAAACTGTATGATAAATCTAGACTATCTTGCTATAGCAAAAAGCAAGAAAGTGCTCAAAGACTGATAGGTACAGGTAAAAATGATCCATGAATACCCTTAAAGGTGCTCTTGCTGACCAAATTTGAAAAAATTACAGTAATTTAAATAGAATGTTTAAAAAGAATCGATGAGCCATACTGAAAACAAGTGGGCAGAGATAAGAAAAAAAGTTGATTCTTTGTAAAAGAGTGCCAGCTAAATAATGTAGATGGAATGTTAGATTTAGAAAGTCCCAATTTGCAGCCACCAAATAAAATGAATTCTGAAAAGGATTATTGATGAATGTTAAAACCTTTGAGTGAACAGGATATGCAAATGATCTCCACATTATCTCCTCCCATATCGCTTAAGAAAAAGATATTCTTAAAATGGGAACATCAGACAGAGACCGAGTGATCAAACTTACATTGGCAATAATGTGACAATAACTTTATGTTCCTCCTGATATGACATAATGAATGAGACATAACATATGCCATTTATGGAGTCTTCAGCCAAAATGTTTATCCTGAACCTACTCATACTGGTGAAAAACAATTAAAGAAATACAAACTTCTACAAGCTAACTGGCCTGCTTTTCTAAGTGTTGATTTTTCCTACCTTTTTTAAAAAAGGTAGGAAAATTATTCTAAAGAAGACTACAGATAGAGGACGACCAAATGCCATGAGTTTGGGTCTTGGATTTAAAAAAAGAAGAAAAGCTTTAAAGAACATTTTGGGAGAAACTGAGACTCAAGTTTGCATACATACTATACATTAGACAATTCTGAAATTCCTTGGATGTGATAATTGTATTATGATCACGTAGGAAATGTCCTTATGTTTTAAGAGAGACATGCTGTAGTAAAGGGGTTAAGTATGATGCCACTTATTTCAAAAGAAAAGTGCTTATACAGAGAGATACAGAAAAATAACAATTGTTGAATACAGGAAAAGGCTATATGATTATTTCATTGTACTATACTTTCTGTATACTTGACAATTTTCTGTAAACTTGAAAATTTTCTAAATAAAAAATTGTAATTAAAAAAATTTAAAAAAAAAACTTACAGATAGCATGAGGGTGCGTGTGGGGGCTTTAGCAAAGTGGTGCATCCTGCTCTTAATTTTAACCAAACCCAATGAAAAACCAGAAGTGGTTGCAGAACAAATTGAGGAATCAAGCCAAGATGGCAAACAAATTTCTAAACTTCCACTTCTTATTAACTTAATACGTATGGATGGCAAGTGGTATAAAGGTGATGGTAAATGACTTCTAACGTACCTTAATCTATTTTGTAAGCAAATGACATAAAATGAAGAAAAAAGGTTAACATGTTTCCCATCTTCTAAATATAATTTCATAGAGAGGAGTAGTGGCGGAGAAGGGGGCAGGGAGGGGGTGGGGAAAAGATTCTTTTAAAACAATACGAAAAACGAAAACGTTAATACATTGACTTATTTTGAAAAATAGGCAAAATGATGAAACTGGATGTTTTCTCACCTAAATCTAATACACATTTATAATTAGATATATACAATTAGACTACAGCCCATATTGTTTTAAAATCTCCCAAACCAAGAAAAACATCATCACCAATGTGATGGGTTTTTAAAATCTTTTAAGAAAAAAACTACCCCACCTAGGTTTTTTTCCCTTAAGCTTATTTTCTGATAGACATTGAATCAGCCCATACTGTTAATTCCACTACCAGTATATAAAATGCCTCTCTAAATATTCAGCATTCTGTCTTAAAGCTCTCAAAACTATGGTTGCATATCAAGTGCTGCTGATAGACTCTACTGAACTAAACACAGTACAAGAATTTTTATATAGCCATTAAACTTGAAAAAAGTTTTTATTCAAATGGTTGTGAGTTTATTTTTGATTATGAAATCAGCCACCCCGCTCCCACCACTTCCCCCTGAAATCCCAAACAAATGCAGCGTTAACGACTACATGGTGGGATAATCAAACTTTTTAATCTCCCTTTATACATTATATTAACATTGATATTGCAAGGCATTCCATTCACAAATATTACAGTTTGATAAAAAATTTCACACACATACCCCCGAAAGTGTATACCAGATTCGGTCACTTTACTAAATCATTAAAATAATACAAGTAATGAAAACATTATCATAATTCTTTTAAAGCAATAAAGGTCTGAGGCACTCTGGGAAAGATGTTCTCGTACAAGTATAATATGTCAGTGGTATCAAATTATCTTACAAGAAACTTACCAGATACTCAGTAATCAAGTACAGCCTAATGACAATGACTTTGATCTGTCTTCATTGGATCCACTCTCATTTGAATTGAACTACTGAAAGGAACAGAGATTGGGCACCTAAGTTCATTTCTGATGAGGTTCCCAGCGATGTAAAGGTGAAACGTGCTTTCAGCACACCAAGGAGAGCTGCATCCCTGCCACGAGGGAACAGTTCGGTCTTCAGAGAGGTTCCTTTCTTATCACGACCAGGTTTGCTAAATGTTAGGATCTAACAGCCCACTTGACTTACTCTGCTCACTGCTGGAGAGATTTCAGAACTGGCTTTCCCCATCAACTTCTATAGTGCAACCTCCACCCCTCTCTGAATATCTCCAAGGTATGCCCTGGAAATAAAAGAGAGGAGAAAGGGAACGTTTTCCCTCCCATTTCGACCAAATAGGTATGAAACAGCAATGTAATACAAAATTCTCATGCTCTGAAACAGCCAGCTACCACTTGGAGCATGGCTATTTTTGTCATAAACTAGATTTTTAAAAACCTAATAACCTTTTTTCAAAGTGAATTTTTTCCACATCCATTCGCTGATACAGAGTCCACACTGAAGAGAAAGTCTCACTGACCTGAGTGCTTCCTTACACACAATTACACGAGTAAATAATTAGCATGGGGGAAGAGGGAGGCCAATTCCCAACTGGGAATTCAGTCACTGCAAACTATGGGTCCATTTACGACAGCATATAACCCTGTCAGAGCAGAATCAACACAAACTCCAGGTCACATAGTGTTCAGTAATTATATATATGGAATTTAAAATGTATACATATATATTTCCATACATATATAATAAAAAAAGCTGAAGCAACTTATGTTGCTAAAGTTTCAAGGATTCCCATCTTCAACATTCATTTGGAAAGCAGCTGGCTCTCGATGGCCCAGTTGTGGCAGTGATAAAATCAACTAGAAGCAGGTTTAAGTAAAAAGTGCTCAAAGGCGAATGAGAAAACAGGGGCACAGAGATTCTTGCGGGGGACAGGGGAGCACTCAAAGGAGTTGAGAAATATTTCCTTTATTCTTCTCGGCTTTTTCAGACCCAAGACAAGTTCGTGAGGACACACGTCAAATGCTGTAGTCTTTCCTTATCTACAGTCAAAAACAAAACAAGTAATAAAAAATTTCATCTTCCATTCTGTACTCTCAATAAAATGCACAAGTACAGCCAGAAGGCATTAGTGAGATGTGCCATCTCGGAAGAAATTAAAATTGGGACATGAAATGAGGCCGCGCACTCTCGAGCCGTCGAGTTAGGATTTCACAGCCAGCGTCCGTGACCAGCAGGGTGTGCTCGAACTGAGCAGACCGCTTCCCATCTCTCGTCACTGCAGTCCAGCCATCTGGCCAGGTTTCATCCTGCCATCCGCCTTAAATACACAAAAACAATTTTTCTTAAATCTATCACCCAATTTTCTAAGTAAGTGCTAGGTAAGTACGTTTGCATATACTCCTACAGAAAACCAATAAGAAAATTCACTATTAAGATTCCTACTTACACCTCAATTGTTTTATTTGTTTATTTATTTTTAGCACCTACAGCACCTGGTCTTTCTAGGTGGTCTCCCATCCAAGTACTAACCACTGCAACCCTGTTTAGCTTCCAAGATCAGATGGGATTGGGTGTGTTCAGGGTGGCATGGCCGTAGACTACCTCAATTGTTTTAGCTAAAGCATTTCCAACTTCATTTTGGTCTTTAGTTCAATGAAGTAATAATATTTAAATTTACCTCAAGTGTGTTAAAACTTCAAATGTTTTATACCTCCCAAACAGCCAATCAAGATGGTATTCCCAAAATAAAAACAGTGGGTGATACATTTTAGAAAACATATTGATACCAGTCATCACAAAACTACAAGTAAATAAAATTGGATGAATAAATTCCATTCTTTATTGGTATAATTTAGCTCTTTTCTGGCATCTGACTAAACTATAGCCAACATATATTGTGAAGGAAATAATGTAACTTTATATACTTTTATTATAGCATTTAATTCCTGATATGCTGGCACATAGATGGTGAGAATAGATTATACTGTGAAATTTTTGTAGACCACACCCCTGTAAACAGAAAGAAGGCAGAGAATGAAATAAGGATTAGCAAGAGAATAAAAAAATTATGATGAGGCAGAATGGGTTAGAGGGATTGAAACTAATGAAAGGAAATGAAGAAACATGAAACGGGCTAGGAGACAATGGTAAAAAGAAGCCACAACACTAGAGAAAGAGAGAAAGGGGACAGGGGAGGGGAGGCAGAGAGGGAATAAGAAAGTTGTGCAATTCCGGATACTACAAAAATACCTATTTACATATACTTTGGCCTCCAAATTACATGTCAAAACATCAATCCATTCTTCATTTTGAGTAATCTTCGTTAAAGATTAGGTCTCACTGACTCAGACAAATCCCACAACAAACTCTGCACTGAAGTAACCTACTTTTGCAAAATTAAATCTCAGTCTAAAAAGAATATGAGGAAGCTTAAAGTTAACTCATACTTTGCCAAACACCTAAAGATGAGTAAATGGTTATTTTCCAATGTAATGAATGACCTTTTCACAAATGGATTTACACATAATACTTCTTTGATTTTACTATGATCTACTAAAACAAGTTATTAATGTCAAGTCGAACATAGTTGGCCACTATTCTGAAGAAATTCAAATTCTTGGATCTGAGACTCTGAGGCTGGGATTTAACCTGAGTTACACTGTTATAATTTGCTGATTATCTGAACCAGCTCTACAGAAAGTTATTTGCTTATGCCTGTAACCATCACATTATTTCTCACCACCCAGGTGTCAGTTAATGAAAATAGGTATGTGACCAAAAGACAATTTCCTCTCACTGTCTTGCCTTTCTCTGCTAATATTACTTACTGCCTTTTCGACTTGTTATATATGATTAGAACTTTATTCCATAAGGACAACAAAAACAATATATTTGTACAGCCCTTTATAGTATACAAGGTACTCTGTGTTAAGATAGATCATCTCACTTAATTCTTAGGGCAGCTTCTCCGAGTTAGCAGGAGAAAGATTGTGATTTCCATGTTAAAGAAAAGGATCAGGTTAAGGCAGCCTCTAAAACAACCTCCAATGCCCTCCTCCCCTCCTTGAGTGTGAACTGGATTAAGTGACTCCCTTCTAAGGAAGAGAATCTGGTAGAAGCTGTGGGATGTCATTCTCAAGATTAGGTACAAAAAAGACTGGAAGAACTCAGAGAGGGGTAGGTACCTTTAACACAGGGCCAGGACACACTGCCTGCTACTAACTACTGTCTCACTCTGTACCCCATGATCCCAACAGAGAACTGGCAGAAAAGAAGGTGAAGGCTTCACGAGCAGGCTCCAGCTATCATTTTGACATCTCAGTGAGGGGCCCTAACCATGACAGAGTCTACTAGCATTGCCACATGCCTGTCGCAGGACATAACAACCATGAGGACATAAAACTGTTGTCTGTGCTGTGCTTTCTCCACAATATTTGTAAGACATCACCTGACGAAATAAGTCTAGACCCTGAAGAGGCAGAACAGCTCAGGACATCAGAGTATGACAAATTCTGCCACGTAACTAGCTAAGCAACTTTAGGCATATTATGTAACCTCTTCAAAAATTAGTTTGCTCTTTTGTATAATGGGGATAGCACCTACCTCATAAGTTGTAGAGAATTAAATTATAAAACTGTGTCTGCCTCAAAGTGAGTTGCTCTACATTTTTCCTCCCCTCCAGCCCCCACTGTGCCCCTCGTGTCAAGCAATAAATTTCTACACAGGCTTGATGGAGGCTCCTAATTATTACACTACACCCTTTGACAGGATCTTAATGAAAAGAGATTGGGAATGAAATACTTTAGCATTTACTGACAGCAAGAAAATTACAGTGTAGAAAATACTGCTTCCTTAACAACTCTTAAAATTTTCAGTTCTCTAAATGACACTGAATCAAGTTCAATATGGGACAGGGAGAGGAAATAAGCAAAAAGAAAGTAGACTACTAATCTGATCACGAGTAACCAAAAGTAAATAAAAATTCAATTAAAGAACATTACTGTATCCTTTTTTCTCACCTTCACAAATCATTGGCTCAATTGTAAATACATGGCCAGCCTTCATCACTCCAACTGCTTTATTTTCTGAAATTAAAGAAAAAATTCTCAAAACATAGCAAAAACCCAACAGTGTACTGTTGAACAGCTCACTGGAAAAAATATACAACTTATAGTCCCATCCGTGATTGTTAAATTACCTTCTGATTCCCCTTTCTTAAAGTAGATCATTCAACAAACAGGTACCTTACTGATAAGCACCTACTTTGGGACAGATATTCTCCTAGGCATATTTCCTTCTGCTTATGTTATCTCTAGGAAAATACAGAGAGACATCTGTAGGCTAGATTTCAGATGTGGTTATCACTTCTATAAAAGGAAAAGTCCACCATTTGTTACAGTAGGACTGGAACTGCAATCATGGAACCGAACAAAGTTCCATCACTCATCCAGGTATAACAGCTTAAAGGAGAATAACAGATGTTTCAGATTATGCCATAAATCTCCCATCTCTTGGGTGGGTGGATGGGTAGGTGGGTGGGGATATGTGTGGATGTGGGGTAGAGGGAGGACACAGCCTGTAGAAACAATTGCCAATTTTCATTAAATTCTTCTATACGTTGTCTTCTTTTTCTTATCTTCAAAGGGGAACATTGGCTCTGCGCACTAACCTATTTTTTAATGCTGACAAGACTATTCGTTTTTATTTGAAACAAAATTCCATTTCTCCCTCCAAATACTGTTTTAGTTTTTGATCAAGTTCACTAATATGCGAGTATTTTTCAAGATCATCATGAGAAACATAACTACGAATTAAAGTGTCCAGAGAGAGAGAAAGGCCTTTTTTAGACAATCTCAGACAAAAATGGAGAACCAGTTTAAATTTCAAATTGAAAAACAAGAACTGGTAAAAAAATTAAATTAAATTAAAAAAAAGAGCCCCAGTAAACAAATGCCTGCATTTGCTCATCCTGACCAGCAGATGGCAAAAGCACCAGCTTTCAGAGTTTCTCCGTCTGGCTCTTGGTCTTTGCCATGTGTCCACAGAGACTGAATCTACTGAACACCACACTCTTTACTATGGTCTAACCTCACCCACACTTCTTTCCTGCACATCTCTCCTTGTGAATAGCCATCATGCTGCTTTCCACTATCTTACGTATTTCCCAAATACACTTTCTGCAGGTTCCAAATCTGGAGTTTCTAAACAGTTATAAAATCTAAGCGGCAAAAAATAATTTTGACTTTTTATTTCTAATCTCATGAACTTTCCAAATGATCACCAATTTACTACATATACACAATTAATGCTATTCCTCTGAGGATATCAAAAAGAAGATTGCCAGGAGTGTCAGTGTGGTGTCATACAAGAAGAGAATAAATAAATCTAGAGCTGTGCTGTCCAGTACAGCAGCCCTGGCTGCGTGCAGCTACTGAGCGCTTAAAACGCAGCCAGTCAGAATAAGACAGGCTGTAAGTGTAAAAATATGACAAAGGCAAAAAAAAAAAAAAAAAAGCAAGCATGTAGTATATCTCAATAATTTTTATTCATTAAATGTTGAAATGCTAATATTTTTAATGTAGTAGATTAAACATACTTAATTTCACCTATTTTATTTTACTCTTTGACTATGACTAGAAATGTTTAATTACATATATGTCTCGTATATTCTACTGGACAGCACTGATACAGAGAATCTAAGTTCCAACTCTGCTGCTGCCACTGATTCATTATTCAAGAAAAGTTACAACTCCTACTCATATCGACTCATGGTTTCAAGTTTCTCAACATATCTTACTCAACCAACACACCTTATCTGAGTGACACTACGCTAAGTACTTTTTAAAAAATTTGTACATGCTCTATCATCTACCTCATAAGATTACCATACTATATATTCTAAATGTAAGGTATTATCATCATGGTTTCTCAACCATTAATAACTTAAATAAAGAAGCAAATAAACTCTACTATAACAAGGACTTCTCTTACGTAAAAGAGGTGGAGGGAAGTTACACAATTTCCTGGTTCCACCTTTAGCTGGTTAGGAATATGGAATTACAGGCCAGAGATCATTTACATATCAAAAGGCCTCTCTCTGCTCCACAAAGACTATCCCAACAGGTTCCTTGACACTTCCCCAAAGTGATCACAACATATTGTGATTTATATAAACCCTGATTTACACTTGACTTTTCATAAACATATCAAATGTATGAAATGAAGTATACCTACCCGGTCCTTGCTTTTTTTCAGAATTGTTTATTTCTTACTAAATAGTTTAAAAAGAAACTCAAGTGGCATCTCTTGTATGTCAGTGGCACCATAGTTGGCTGACACCATCATCACTGATGCATATCCCCTCCTCCCACAAATCCTATCTTCTTCAGACAGTCTCTATATAATCCATACCTAAGCCTGAGTTTGTCACCTCTACAAGTAAGGGCACTTTGTTCATTCCTTCCCTGCACACACTTTTTTTATTTACACACATGCACACACTCACACCACTGTAATCAAAATAACTATTTCCATTCTGTTAAAGAGAATGCACAACAGGTGATTATTACGAGGCTTACCAGGAAGGAATGAAGTTGGCTACTAATTTTCTGTTGCCAGCTTTTATTTTAAGCACAGTTCAAATCTTAAGTAAAAAGAACTATGTGGTCTGCTAATAAACGCTTATTGATTGATGTCAAATACTGTGCTCTAAATGACTTCTCGAGCTCCGACTGTCGGGCAGTTTCTCACTCATTTCACTTTCTCTTCACAACTTGGGACATCTAGAATTTTACTACCTCCTCCCAGGACCATGGCAACAGTGCACCGGGCCGACTGGCCACACCAACTCGCACCTCCAATACATTCTAGACACTAAGGCCAAACTGGTCTTCCCAAAACGACAACTTCACCTTGCTAGTTCTCTGCCCAAAAATGTTTCTGCAAATTCCTACGAATGAGGTCAAATATCCTTGGTCTGGCACTGCCTGTTACTAGTTCCTAACACATAATACTCAGCCAAGCTCATATTGTCTCTGTTCAGTCTTAACTTGCACCCATTCATGCTTCACCTCTACCTAGAAATGCTCTTCTACATCTTCTCCTCCAAACCAAATCTCAATCATTCTTTATTTCTCCCACAGGACATACTACCAAACTGCTTCGGTCCTTACTAGATAGCACGAAGTACAGGAGAAAATAATAAGTATAGAAAGCCAGGGAGAACCCAGGTATCAATCCTTGCCCTGGCATTTATTTACTAGTCTCTGTGAACTTGAGTACATAAATTACTTCTCTAAGCATAGAATCTTTTTTTTAAATAGAGCAAAATAATTATTCATTGAATTGTGATGATCAAATTGGACAATGTTACCTTATCATCATCACATGCATCACTCTAAATGTTAACATTAAGAGCTTTCCATGTATTGTATCACTTAATCCTATTAACAGTTTGAGGGAAGGTGCTACTCCTTACCCATTGTACACATGAGAAATCTTAAGCACAAAGAGATAGGTGAAAGCCTCTATAGAGCAGAGGCTCCTACATATTTGTTAAATTCCTTCAGAAGTTACTTGTAGTGGATAGATTTCATTTCTAGCACTAAGCAACAAGACTTATTCCTGCACGTCTTATCTCTCCAAGAGAAAAGGTTTCTGGAAGACATTAACTGTCTTACACTCCCCCTTTGTTATTCTATCAGACAGTACTCAACTTGAGGAAAGGTATTTTGTCTGCTTGTACCAACAACGGTCTATTATCTGACATACAACTAAGTATTCAAATCAAACCAAGCTGAACCAATTTTATTTAAAGAATCAGAACAGTGATGGCTAGATATGTGGCAGAGATTGTTGGCTGTTCACCAAAATTAGTTCTTTTTTCCCAGAGTACTCAGCTAGATAACATTTCCCAACTTCTCTTTCAGTTAAGGTAGACATGTGACTGAATTCCTGCCAATGAAAAGTAAATATAGTGATTATGCCAATTCCAGGCTGGTTCATTAAAACCTCCCAAGCATAGCCCTCCATGCTTCTCTCCTTCCTTCCTAATATCTACAGAATATGAGTCAACTTCCAGAGTATCTTGAAAGCTGTAGGTTGAAGATGACAGAGCCTGGATCACAGAATAATTGCCCTACCGCACAGAGCAACCAAACATGCATGCTTTAGACTATTCTGTGAGCAAGATGAACATATGAACGTGTATTGTGTTTGAGCAAATATATATCTGGGGAGGTCTATTTATAATAGCTAATAGATTATTCTAATAAATATAAAATAGTAGGTCCTATTAAATGTTTGAATAAGTATCTGTTGGATAAATGGTTGGCGAACACCAAATCTTTGGACAGCACTTACTGGCATAGTGGGGTACATTGGGGGCTGTATGGAAAAGCTTGTGGATTCCATGCCCACAATAACTTCGAACAACTGAAAAGCCACTTGCTTGGGCATGCTTCTGAATAATGTTTCCCAATTCTCTGTATCGAACGCCAGGTTTCACTGAAAGATAAAGAAAAGACTCGTGACAAAAAGTAATAACTAACATTTACTGGGCAAGTACTTACTATCTATGTGCCAGGAACTTTTCTGAATGCTTTACACGGCTACATGAATAAATTTTCAGATGAGGAAACCGAGACATAGAGAGGCTATACTGCCAGTAAATGGTAAAGCTGAAATTCAAACCGGTAGCACCTCCTTCGATGGGAGTGGGGATGGGGGGGGGAGTAGGACACATGTCCAATGCCCAGTACTAAGAGGATGCAGGGAGGTACCTCTTGCCTTCCGAATAAACAAGGGAATGGAAAACACACTTCTCTTCCTTTCCTTTCTATTAAAGTGAACAGAAGAGGCAAAAAAGGAAAGAGCACCAGGAGAAAAAGGAATGTCCAAAAAGTAACTTGACTTGTCCTGAGTTTCAGTCTGGTCAATTTCTCAAAGAATTACCTCCCCTGGGCTTCCTCATCTCCATAAAAGTGGTTCTCAAATTATTCATAGTTGCCTCTGCAGAAGGTCCTGGGCTTAGGGTATAGAAAGGTACTTCTCACTATATACTTCCTACTCCTTTTAATTTTTATGACTTTACTACTGTTTCAACAAAAACCCAAACAGAAGAAGGGGTTCTCACTGATGTTATGGCTCTCTTAGCACTGAGATTCCAGAAAGTGAGTCACGCAGGCCCCCTACAGTCTCCTTCTCTGCCTGACTTCCAACCTGAGGTTCAGGAACAACATATCTTCTCCAGCCTATCAAATTTCTGGGCCAATAGCCCAAGAAATCATTTTAAGTAACACTTACTTGTCCTTAACCAGATGTTCCAGCTTGAAATTTTTAGGGGGCAGAAGGTTAATGATTTTGAGGAACCACACGGACTTTCACAATTTTCCTACATTTCCATCCAAGTCTTCATATCAGTCCCATTCAGCAAGAAAAGCAAAATTTTAATCCATGTTGCATAGTACACAGTAAAGACCGTCCCCGTTTGACAATAATGGGGTGAAAGCGGGAGATTCCTTTCTAATTCTCAAAGCAAAGACAATTCTGGTCCCATGGGTGTACTTTGTAATATTTGGAGATATTTTTGGTTTCCACAACTAGGAGTGGTGGTGCAACTGGCATCTAATGGGTAAGGACAGGGATGTTGCTAAGTGTCCTATAAAAAGCACGGGACAGGCCCCTACAACAAAGACTTATCTGATTCAAAATGCCATTCACCTGTAAAGTGAGAAGCCCTCTTCCAGAAGGCTAATTTCAACAACTGATCAAGCTCTCCAGTGCCCTGCACCACCGTAGGCAGCCAAATTATTGTAAAATAATGGGCAGGAATGATACATACAAAGAGATTAAGCAACTTTTGTTCTTTCCTGGTTACTGTTATAAAGACTTTAGTTTCTGATAGTTTCTTCGCATGTTTTATTCCTATGTCTTTGTAAAATGACATAACAGCTGTCCAGTTATTTCAGCTAACTAACTCACAGGGAAGCAAAAAGGATATAAACAATGAATACATTATTTGGCAGAAACTCTAAAAATTATTTAAAACTAAAGCTTCCACAAACAAGAAACTAAATACTAAAGTTCTCATCTCACAATACCACTGGGAATATTGTTTTTCAATAATCGACAGTGAATAAGTAAAAAAAAATTGATACATGAAAATATCATATACTTTCATTGTTCATTTCTCAAACTTCATCAAATCAGTAAAAATTTCATCATCTCCCACACGTTGACTAAAAATAATAAAAATAATGGATGTGTTATTAAAGATAAATAAATGTTTGCCTAAGAACAATACTTTGTAGATGATATATCAGAGGTGTTTCTGTTTGTTTGGTGGGTGGGAAATGCAGATAATATAAACTGAACAATAAAGCTGAACTGCTATAGATTTCAACCAAAAAGTTGTTTGTCCTCAAACTGTCTTTTTCAGTAAAAGTCTGTTAACACTTGTGACAAGGCTTTCTCTCTCCTCACAAGATACAGAACAAATAAACAAACAAAAACCCTCAATGAATTGTTTGTATGGACAAAAACAGACAGCCTGAGAAAAATGCTAGAGAAATACATGTCTACCCAAAGATAGTATTCACTACAATAGCAAGACATCTAGAAAACACCAAAATCCAGTAGGGGAATAGCTATAGAAATGTTTGTACTATGGAATATAACATACGGTCACTAAAAGAATATGGTAGAATGATGCATGCAGGTACATATGCTAATTTGGAAAGATCACTAAGATGTTATTAGTTGAAAAAGTACCAAATTACGGAATACTATGATTCTATTTAACTAAACACATACACACAGGTATGAGTATATGTGTGTGTTAATACACAGAGGAGGAAAAAACCTGAATATTCAAAGTGAATACTTCTGGAGAAAAGAGAAATATAAAAAGGAAAGAGGAGAGGCAAGTGTAATGGAGGATAATTCATTTTTCCTTCATAATCTAGTGTCTTGTTATAATTATTTATAATGAGAACACAATATTTATGAAAGAATAAAAAGTAGAAAAGATTGAACTCAAGAACTATGCATACATTACCCCTCATTTATCAGCCAAAGAAAAGGCTGGCAAATCAGAGAAGAGAAAAATAAACAATCTTTCAGTCCATCCTTATCAAGGGATTACAAATCATCCTTAAACTATCACTGGTCAAACCCAAAGCTAACTCAGGTAGGGGAGAGGCCAAGCTGGGACAAGGAATTCATGGTGCAGTGACAAATCATTGAAGACCCAACAACACACAGACGTTCAAGCGGGTGCCCAGCCCTGAAGCTGACCTGCATCAATGGCTTGCATCAGGCACTCATACGTGGTCTGGACGAGTTTCCGTGCTCCCTCATCCACATCTCCAACAAAAAATGTCTCGTTCAGGTCCCCGTGATAACCATTGCGATAAAGCGTGATGTCCACTGCAAAAGAATGTGCAAATATAAAGACTAAATTTGTTTTTATGTCAAACAAATGTAGTTTCTTCAACATGACAGCATCAAGCAGCTTAATGAGAAAGATAACTTCTTCATTGTCAGTTAGACAATGGGTATATAGTGAGTGCCCAACAGACACTTCTTATCTCTAATGCAACTAAACTCACCGTGGAGGACAGGACATGGTCACACAGCACAAGCCAGATGGTGGGCTTGTATATTCTTATATAGTAGTAAGTAGATCATTTATGGCAGAAGAAAACTGTATCCAGGATACATTCATGTAAGGTCAATACCCAAGTTTTGGAGGACTTTGCTACATTTGATATTAAACAGAAAATACTGCTTAAACTTACTATCTTCAAAGAAGTTTTTCCTCCTAATAAATCAAAACAGAAAAACTTACGCTATTCTACAGTTATTTTTCAAAAACTCATTTGCCTTTCTCTTATTTGTGCATATTCATCCTTCTCTTTGTCCGCACGTTTAAGAATACAGATTACTACTACACCATTATAATACAATAAATGTCTATTAGAGAGCACATGAAATGAGTGTTTTTAAACCATGAATTTTCAACCTACAATATCACAGGTATGTTGGTTCTAGCACAATACATACATTCCTAAAAAAAACCCACGCATTATGCATATAGTAAAATAACAGGAGGGTTTAGGGTGGCGAACACACAATGCAATATATATATGCCATACTGCTGAACTGTACACTTGAAACTTATTGGATTTTGTTAACCAATGTCACCATAATAAAAAATTAATTGATTGATTTAAAAATAAAATAAAATAATAAAATAAAACAACAGGGTTTATATGAAAAACAGGGTTATTCAGGCAGACCCCTGAAAAACCTATGGAACTTTATGAACAGATACTCTAACTAAAGCAGTAACAATCAGATAAAAACAGTGTCTCCACTATCATTCACAGCCAGCATCACAGTCAGTGCATTCTCTGCAGCCTTTAACACTTGGGGTCATGCTTCCTCACTTGAAAGGTAGGTCCTTGACAATCCCTGATTACAAAAAGACCAACTTCATCAACATTAAAAACACCATCTAGGGGAGCCTTCTTCATCAATTTTTCTTGAATCACAGAGGAAAATATCTGGACAGCTCCTTCCGCTGCACTTGCAGATTCCCAAGACAGCTTAACACAGAGGTCCTGAAAGTCACTGGATGAACTTCTTATATAAGGGAAGGCACTTTCACAGGATTTTTAGTTTTCTTAAGGTCTTCATATATTACTACGGATTTCTCTTTATCTGGAAGAAAGCCTGTCCTGATCTCTTCAAAACCATTAGTAGACTAAAAGAAACAAAAAATAATAATCCCACTTGAATCAACATTACTCCCACATTTCACTGACATCTTTCATCTATTCCACAATCACTTATGATAATCTGCATTAAAGAAATACATGCTGTACCAAACACATCATACTAGAAGTACCTTAAAAGCAGTATCTTAAAACCATAAAAAAGGTTTCCATGGATTTAAGATTTATTTTAAATTCTAAATATGAAAAAGGATAAGTTAAAGACAGGAAGCAAATGGAGAAGACACAATCACTATCAGGATGTCAAAACCTTGTTGTCTCTTTGCTCATGGTGACAAAAGTCACATTTACATATTTCTTACCATTAACAATATCACCTTCTTGCAAGGGCCGTCTGTCTGGAATTCCATGGCAGATTACTTCATTCACTGAAGTACAACAAGACTTTGGGAAATTATAATAATTCAAGGGAGAAGGATAGCAATTTCTGGCAATACATGCCTAAAATAAAGAGAATAATTTGGAATATATAAAAGAAAAAAATTAATCTATGCAATAAACCAGATTTTAAAATTTGAAAAATGTAAAAATATTTGTTGTAAAGATGCTCCTAATGAAATATTTGTTTAATATTTTATTTTAGAAATAGCAGTAGTTATCTTAAACAGTATAGAAAAGGATATGTGCCAGTCAGATAGACTGTAGGCAAACCAGTTTACTGATAATTGCCAAGAAAAATTCACATATTACAAATATTAATAAATATATAAAAATATGAAAACTCTAGAATTAACTAATCCTATGAAAAATATATTAAAGTAAAAACTATTTTAAATAAACATTAATGTGCGCTTTTAATATAGTTATACTTTCTTATATAGAAACAAGTATATATCTCTGACCAAAAAATGAATACGAGTATAATTAAGAAATGGTAAAGTACTGTCAGAGACATTTTAATCACTACAGTCACGTGGAACAACAAAGGAACCTCCTAGAAAATGGTCTGGTTTTCCATGACAAGTCTTATTTTACTTAGATGTTTTTATTCAGTGTAGTGCTACACAGTCTTCAGACTAATAATTTTTAAATAGTTGCATATAATACAATTTGTGGAATGCACTAGAATTTTGTTGACAAGTCTTATTATTTTTGGAAATTTAAAGTTCCCTGGATTATAAAACTATATTACTCCTTGTCGATAACTACATGTCTATCACTTCTCCCTTGCTTAATGATATAATTCTATATTTCTCACAGTAGAATGTCTTGACTGAAAATGCCAACTCCATCACAAGCTGTGTAACCTTGAGCAAGTTAACCCCTTCCTGCCTCAGTTTTCTTATCTATAAAATGGAGTCGTTGGGGAGATTAAATGAGTTAGTAAAAGAGCATGTGGCCAAAAAAAAGCACTCAAAAATGCTATTATTGCATACTACATATTTTGTAACATATGGAACAATAACCAAAAATCACGATTTATAAAACTGTGAACATAAAGTCTTTACAAACATTATTATACTCAAGAACATTTGTCCTTTCAAAAGAGTTGCCCCAATTTTACAATACCACCACTACGTTAAAGAGTATCAGCTTCATCATCCCCACACAGGCAGTGGATATAAACATCTTTAAAATACTTAATAATTTAGTAGAACTTTATGATTTGCATTTGTATGATGACCAGAGCAAGTTTAGTTTTCAATGTGTTTTATTTACTAGTTATTGCTCCTCTTTTGTGAACAATCTGTTCACATAAGGTATGCACTCATCTACTAAAGAGTTTTAAGGTCTCTCCTTGATGCATAGGTCATCTTTATAAAAAAGATATCTCAAGATGATATTTACTATAAATATTTACCTCTTTTTACTGCCTTACTGTGGATATAAAAAGAAACATTTTTTCACTAATCTAGTTTCGGAAGCTGTATTCTTTTTTATTTCAGAATCTTTGTTCTATGTGGTGGCATAATTTATTTAAAGCACGAATAAACTAAAATGTTATGAAATGTGAGGTTTTAGAAACAAGATATTTCAAGCTCACCTCAGACCTCAATATCACAGATATTATAAGATGGGGAAAATTACTGTTGAATATTTTCTATATTTGAAACCAAGTAAAAATTTACTTTCAAAATGGCTTAGCCAAGTAACTTTAGACATTTGCTACTTAGGCTTATTTAATTTTTAGATGTCTAAAACATCTAATAATGTGAAAAAAATTTTTCAAAGAATAAAAGTAAAGTCCTTACTAAGTGTACAGCATGATCTATTTCTTCAGTAGTTACACCTGGTTTAATCATCCCAGCGGCAATGTCGAGCACTTCTCTAGCAAGCTGTAAAAGAGAAACACTTAATACATCCAAGATGAAACAGAAATCTGTACCCTTTGTACTACGTAGGTTTTGTGAAAGATTTGTAAAATGCATCTTGCCTTGAATATTAAATTCTTTATTTTAAAACCATGTGTACTTCTAACATCCAATAAACATGTGTATGTGTGTATAAATACATAAATAAAATTGGGGTGACTAGCAAACAACTTAGTAAGTCTGAATGATTTCCATGTGAAAATGTACATCCTAAGTAATTTAAACAATAATCAACTGGTAGAGGCTTATTTCTATATTGTCATATTTCTATAAAGGGGAAGGGAAGGGAGGGAAATAAAAGAATCAATGAATGATATCCTCAAAAATCATAGCACAAAAGTGGTAGAAATATAAATTTCTCCAGATTATCAAAGAATATTAGTATCAAATCACTTTTAAGCACTGAATAAAAACTTTAGAAACCATTTCTAAATGAAAACTACTAATTCTTCAATTTTTCCTTAGAAAAATGTGAACATGTGATTTCACTTAATAAGTATCGGCCACTACCACTACATGGCATAGGTATTTCAAAGGGAGCTTTAGCTTAACTTTATATAAGCCTTAAACTCTGCCCTAAATTATAATGACTTGTGAATATAAAATGGCAAAATATCATAAAAACCTGGTTCTTTAAAAAAAAATATAAGGGGTAAAACAGATTGTCAACTAAATATAGATTACCTGCCATATTAATTTTCAAATAGACTATTTAAATAGAAAACAACCATTGCACAGAATTATATACTAAAATAAGTTTAATGAATAGTAAGTATGGCTACTCACAGCCTTACAACATAACATTTCCTCCCTTCAGCACATCACTGACTTCATGTCTAGTAACTGTTTAAACGTGTCCTACACCATGAGAGGGAAAAAAAATCTTACCCTACATACAAGTCGCATCCCTTCTATATCTTCAGATGAGAGTAATTTAATTTGAGAAGTACCTTTAAGAGCCTGTTCAGATTCAGACATTCCTGGAAAGGAAAATCAGCAAGTAAAACCCAAACAAATGAACAGATATAATACTAAGCATAATCATTTCCCCGATAATATAATAATCATCAAGTCTATTTCAAAGAACAGTATTTCATAATTTGGGAGGGTCCAGGTCAAATTTTTTGAAAATACATTTTCAACGTGAAAAGGAAATTTGCTACACAAACTGATGGAAGAATTCTAAAGCACGAATTTCCAGATCTACTAGAAATCAGTCAATATGGAGTACACTTATTACATGATAGGCGCTATGCTAATAAGGTCAGTAAATGATTCGATGTGAGTAGTACCACACAATTCACAAAAGCTTTTATGATTATCATCTTATGATGCAACTCTATACCAACAACTGATAAGTCGATTACACTCAAATTTATTTTTTTTAAATAGGAACCTAAGTCAGTGTTTTTCAAACTGCTATTTGTGGCTCATTAATTTCCAAAGTAAATAAAGGGAACAGAAAATATTAACATCATACGGGGTAGGGAGAAGTGCTGCTGTAAAACGTCTGACTGTTAATTTACGCACATAGACACAGACACACAGATCATGTTATAAAAGATGTTTCTCGGAGTCACAGTCAGAAAAGTTTGAAAAATACTGCCCTAAGAATCTTCGCTAATAAAAGCAGCTGAACTCAAATTATTTATATACTTAAAAATATTAGAACCAGTATAATAATCATTTCAAAATCTGACCAAAAAAATAAACTAATATTTTTTATAAACCTGATATAAAAATCCCAACTAAAATATTATCAAACAGGATCCAAAATATATATATTATACCATGACTTAAGTGAGATTCATATTGAAAAGGCAAGGATAGTTCAATATCAACAAATCTACTATATAATTTGTCACAGTCATAGAAGATTAAAGAAGAAAAATAAATAAATGATCATCTAGAAAGATGATTCAAATAACATGGCCAGTTACTACCCCAATATGCTAAAAATAAATCTCAAGCCAAGAACCCACATCATGGAATGCTCACTCTCAGCACCACTATTTAACACTGTTCTGATGGTACTAGCAGATATATTAAACAAGAGAAAGAAATAAGACATACAAAATTCAAAAGAAAAGGACAAAATCCTCATCAATTTCAGATGATTATGTATCCTTAGAATAAGAGACTACCTAGTAAATGACTAGCAATAAGAACTCAGCAAGTTGGCAGATTATTAGCTAAATATATCAAAATCAATAATTCCCATATACAAATAATGAGCTAGAAAATATAAAAGATACTATTTACAAGAGTAACTAAAAAAGATAAAGTATCTACAAATAAACTTTAATAAAAGACTCAATGATGAAATGTTTAAAATACCACAGAAAGACATAAAAGGAGACTTAAATAAAATAGAAAAACATACCCTGTTCTTGGATAGGAAGACTCAATATTGTAAAGGTGTCAATTCTTCCAAAATTAGTCTATAAATTTAATACTATCCCAATAAAAAATGGCAACAGGAATTTTTTGGGAACCAGACAAACTGATTCCAAATTTCACATGGAAAAACAAACATGCAAGAATAGCCAGGTAAATTCTGAAAAAGAGGAAAGGTGGGGACAACAAGGCCTACCAAATATTAAAATATTATATGGCTATAATAATTATTTGGCTATGGCACATGATTAGACAAATGGGTTAAAGAAACAGAATAGATCCAAAAACAGACTCAAAGACATGTGAGAATTAAATACAATGATATAGGCTACCTTTTAAAACAGTAAGAAAAGGACTGATATTTTAAAAAACTAGTGATGTGACAACCGGATATTCTTTGGGAAAAAAATTAAATTGCATCCACATTTAATTCCTAGTACTACATAAGTTTCAGATGAATCAAAAATTTTATCACACACAAAAAGAGTATATCCATAAAAATAGTGGAAGAAAACATGGGAAAATATTTTTATAATCTCTGAATCAAAAAGTTCTTTCTAGGCCATTAAGCCATAGACGCCTTAGAGAAAAACACTAATAAATTTCATTACAGAAGAATGCTGAAAGTTTGTCACAAATGTGATGCTATAAAGACAAAATGTAAATGCTTAATTGAGAAAAAATGTTTATACCACATACATCAAAAGACTGTTTTCCTTACTACAGAAAGAACACTTATAAATCAGATGGAAAAATACTAGTAACCTAACTGGGGGAGAGAAAAAAGGGCTGAGGATGAACAGATGGTTCAAAAGGAAAGAAAATACAAATAATTTTAACATATAAAAAGATGCCCAACCTTACTCGTAATTTAAAAATACATTAAAATAACAGCAAAATATCATTTTTCATCGTTCAGATTAGCACAAATCATTAAGCCTGATAGCACATTATGCTGAGGAAGATAACAGAAAAAAAGAGATCCTTATATTTTTTAATGAAAGTAACAACTGCCAAATCTCTAAAATTTATTATATCTCTCTAAATAAAAAATGTATGTATTCTTTGATCCAGCTATTTTACTTTAGGCAGTTAACCCAGAGAAATACTATCACATGTGCACAAACATGTAATTCCAAGAATAGTTACTGCAGTCAAACTGGCAGAAGTAAAAACCTGGAAATAATCTAAATGTACATTAGTGGGAGCCTAGTTTAATAAATTATGGTACATCCATACAATGAAATACACCTGTCATTGAAAAGAAAGAAGTTTTATAGGGGCTTATATAGAATATTTACAAGATATATTAAGAGAATACAGCAGGTGAAAAAGTGTATATAGTTTGTTCCTATTGTGTATAATTGGGGGGGAGGGGCGCGGTGGTATTTATGTGTGTACACACACAAAACACCTCTGGAAACTTCTGCAAACTGTTAACAGTGGTTACCTCTGTGGAGTAGGACTTACTTTTCTGTAACATTTCTCCTATTAGAATTTACCTTGTCAATGTATTTTTTTTAAACTATAGTTTAAAACTACATTCAAGAATATTAAATAGAGTAATGAAATTATACAGCCTCAAGAGCTATCTATCAAACTACCTTTTCCTTCATATATCTGAAATAGTGAAGTTTAACTAAATTTTGAAATTATATTCATAAAAACATAATATGGTTCCCCATTTCTCAGAGACAAAGCGAAGGTAGCTTAGCTCAGCAGATTTAACCACATGAAATATTGATAACCATTTTTGACATGCAAAATCAGTAATTTCACATAAATCCAACTTAACTTATGTGTACAGGCCCTAAGGTCAGAGACTGCTCCAGTAACTTGTACTGCAAATTACCTATCTTCTTTGGTTGTCTCACTATCTATTAAGTGGATGGATTTCTAACTGATGAAAAGAATCTTTAATTCTCTCAAATGTTCTAGTGTCTCTTTCAAAAATGTTTACCTTAGAAATCCAGCACTAAAAAATTTCTACAAAAAAAGCACGCCTTTCCTTTGCACTAGTCATCAGGCTCCCAAATTGAAATCTGAAGAGTCAGTATAGCAGAACTTACCTAGAGGGTGATCAGCATAATCTGGCCTTTGGATATAACTTGGCACTGGCCTTGTTGGCATCTAAAAACATCAAAGATGTTAGTTAAAACTGAATCAAATATTAAAGTCACTTTCATTATTAAAATTTACTAACAAAGGAAATAAAAGTAGTGGGGAAAAACTCTAAAAATTTCATTTCACTTAAATGAAGTTTTAAATGACATCTTAAATATCATGATATATCTATCATGAAGATTAAGCTTCACTTTCCTAATGCCATCCTCTTTCTTAGGATATTTTAAAAAAGGAGGAGAGCAGCCAAGGCTATTAAGGATTTAAGAGTGCACACAGACAACAGGTACCTATGTTATACCAAATGAACTGGCAAACCAACTACAATAAAATAATGTCTAAGTAAATATTCACCAATATGCTCCCGGATCATTATCTCTAAGAGGTAGAATTAAAAAGATTTTCTTATATTTTTGATATTTTTCCAAATTTTTAAAATTAAAGGTGTATTCTTTTTATAAAAAGAGAAATATCAGTAAAGAGAATTTAAATATTTAAGGATGATAAATAGATTTCAACTTCAGTGGATTCCTATGTTAAGACTCTGAGCCCCATCTGACAAGAACATAGGAAGGGTGGATGCTATACACTTCAAATAATATAAAATAATGTTGAATGACAACTCTAATTGAAAAATAAAAATTAAAAAAAAAAAGAACATAGAAAAGGGTGGGAGTGGCAGGAAAGCCACCTCAAAATTAAGGTAAAAATATATTATGTTAAAAAAATTTTAGAAAAGCAATATACAGTACCATTGTGCCAGCCAGAAAATATCAATTCCACCACTTTCTTTTTAAGATTAAAGTTGTTTTAATCCTTTCATCTATAATTTTCTACTTCATCCCTGATTGCCAGTTACTCTCTTACTAACTTCCAAATAACGTACTGAGGAGCCAGAACACAAACTTAATCCTGACTATATGACTCATAACTGGAATACAAATTACAAGTGTCATTTTTAAGAAACTGCAAATTCTGAAAATTGTTTTAAAAGAATGTTAAATTTTTATTACCTTATTTACTCACCAGTGGATAATGTGGTCGGAGTTTCCCAGTATATCGATAACCTGCCCATGGGTCAGTGTTAATATCACCTTCTAGAGTCCAGGAAGACACTTCTCGCTTTGCCTTTTCATCTTCTGTGTGATGGATAGATGAAATACAGGAGAGAGAAAGAAATGCTTCAATGGTCAAGCTACAGAGCAGCAGCATACTTTATCACTTGTTTGAACACTACACCAAACAGCTCAGGCACAAAAATCTAACCAACTCCCACTCCAATCTAAATCACCAAAGCTACTGCTGCTTTCCTGCTATGTTCACAATCCCAAGATGACTCAAAGATGTGAGTGTCTTGGGGGAGAAAGCCCAAGCTAACCATATTGTAAGTTTTTACACAATATCAACCAGGAACTGCTCACGGTAGAAATCCTTTTCGGAAGTAAATGCTAAATATATTCTCTCTACAATATCAATTTATAGGAAGCCCATTTTGAAATATAAAATCTGAACCTAGGCATAACTTCCTAACTGAGAGCAGGTATTAGAAATAAATTCTATGCATTTACTAAAAAAAAAAAAAAAAGATTCTAAAGAACCCCAAAGCAAACTTAAAGTAAAAAATAAAAATTTCCCACTTAGATAATGAATGGCTTTCAAGTCAATATTTCAAATTGCTTTAAAAATCTTATGAACATCATTTACCATTTTGCAGGAAGAGGGTAACAGAAGGAGGTAGGAAAAGGCAAAGATAAGGGGAGGGAACAATCAGTAGAAAGTTACTGAAAACTCAGTAGAAAAATTAAGAATCTCACACACACACACACACACACCCCCCTTATCAGGTCAGTTATTCATATATAATGTTGTATTTATTGAAATGCACCTAAGAATCCTTATCACACAAAACAGACCCTCCATGGTATGGGGTATCAGTGAACTGGCTGCACCTCTTATCTCCAATGTGAAATAAAACTACTAACCTAAGACTTTAAATACAATTTAAAGTCAAATCAACCTATAAAGAATTCAAATCAACCTATATACCTCCCAAAGCACACCCATCTTTTCCTGATCACTGTCATGTTATCACAGGTTTTGAAAGGCTTCGAATAATTTTAGAAGTGTACAAGAAAAAGAAAATACCTCCTTTAAACAATCTATTTAAAATAAAATATGAAATGGGGGAGAAGAGATGGAATCATACCGTATTAAGCTACTGAGGAATGGTGAAATGGGTGAAGGGGGTCAAAAGGTACAAAATTCCAGTTATAAGATAAATAAGTTCTAGGGATATAATGTACAGCATGGTGACTAAAAACCAACAACAGCAGAAAGACAATTTAGTCAAATTTCCTCATTTTACAGATGAGGAAACTGAGGCAAGGGGGTTCACATGGACAGAGATACAGGAATACAAAAATATAGTCAATCCATTCACAGTACTCTGGAAGAGAATACAATTACAATATTACATATAAAGTAAAGGAACAGAAAAGAATGATAGAAAAAGAAAAGCTCTACTGTGCTACTGAATTTTAAATATCTTTCTCCCCTCTGGAGTTCAAGAGAGCCACTATGAGTGTTAATGTCAATAAGAAAACTGTTTCTCAGCCCAGGACAAAAATAGACTCCATTCATTGCCACTAAGATCAAATATTATAGAAAATAGTTAGAAATGCAGGCCCACCAATGCCGGCTTCCACTATGAATTGCATCAAGTGCTCTTATCTCAAATATGAACCTCAAGAATAATTTTCACTTGAAACATAGAAGAGACTAACAATCAAGATGCAGGCTTTTTGCTTTAATACACTCTGAGGTCTGCATTCAGAGCCTTCTACAGTCTATTTTCAAAAGAGAACTGAAAGCAGACCTTGAACAAATAATATAACCAAAAAGCTATCCATGTGAGACTGAAATATGGCAAGTTCTAATAATTTACTTAGGGAAATTTACACTTCAAAAGTCAGTTTATTTACATTTTAGGGTCAGTTTGATCTGAGCCCTAAGTGCTAGACATATAATGAACATGTAATAAATCTGAAATGGACTAGGGTTTGGTAACAAAAATGCATACTAATGGTCTTTTTCAAAAGGCTGTGAAAGCATAGGACAGTGTAAATACATATCTTTAAGGTGTCTCTCAAACATCACGATGTAATGCAGCCAGGTAAGATGCAGACAGTGTCAGAGAGTACCTGATACATGCGAGGTCTGGCCCAAAATACACCACATCCAGGCTTTAATCTTTGAAAGGTTCTGTGCAGGCTGCCTCCTCCAGTCAGCTGACATAAAATAACTGTATATGTCTAAGCTCTGCCTAGGACAGGATTTTCTGATCATAATTAGGACTCAATTCTTCTAGATATTATTATTAAATAGCTGTGGAGCACTTACTATGCTCTCTACATATGTTAAACACTTTACATGGATTTGTTCATTTAATCCTCACATCAAACATGATTTCAGCATTTTGTAGGTGAGGCCCAAAATAATCCGTGCTCACAAAGCTTGGTGGAACCAATTTTGAAACATTACATAACAACTTCACTAAGCAATCCTAAAATCAAGCACACTAGTTTGGAGGGTAGAGGAGTGAAATAAAAGTATTGTTTAGAGTTTTGGTGTGGTTTTTTTTAAATGGCTTTTTATAGCATATTTTTGACTACTCAAAATACACCTGTCAAATGCTTCCACCTCTTACTTTAGGAAATGAGAGACAAATAAATACACTGAATATAACAGTGATACATAAAAAGCATGCAGAATAATACAGCATTGAGATATGGAATGCTACGACTTTTACAGATCTGACAGACTAAAAGCAAACGCTACTATGTACACTCTGGCAGGATATACAGTATAAGAACTATCCACCCAAATATTAGCATTATGTGCCTTTGAGGGCTTTATAATCTGGTCTTTACTATGACACCAAAAAATAAATCCCACCCTCCAGTTATTTATTTAACTCAAACTTGAAATTTTCTTAAAGCCTAATTAGTTTCTGCAATCGAGAAAACTCCAGGTCCAGATGGTTTCACTGGTGAATTCTACCAAACATTTAAGAAAGAAATAATACCAATTCTACATAATCTCTTCCAGAAAACAGAAGAAAACATTCTCCATTTTATTTTTTGAGTCTAGGACTATTGTAATGCCAAAACCAGTCAAAGATATTAAAAGCAAATTACAGACCAATATCCCAGAGGCACAAAGATATATATCACCCATCTGTAAAGATGAGTACACATTACACGATAAGAAAAAGTCTGAACATACCATCTTTACAAAATGAATTGCTTGAAACGTTATCGCTCTACTGTTTCTTGAAATAAGGTGCTGTGCTGTCTTTTTTGATTCCCTGTTCCTTCATAACCCAACATTCTTTCCCCCTAATCTCTTTCCCAATACTCTTTTCACTTGGAAGAGCTCTTCCCTACTTTTTTTTTCTCCTCTAGGAGAGTCATCCATAAGGGTGTAGTTTGGTGTAGTCAGGGTCAGTTTATTAGGGTGGGAAAGATACAGGGCTGGCCACCTGAGGGCTGTTTCTACCCAACACAGCCCAAAGGGATACTGAACACTAGACATAAAACCCAAACAGCCTCAGTTCAATGAAGTAATAATTATGTTCTTTTTATTTTAGGGCACACTGGCTGTTTAATTCTCCTGTAGTATAGGTCATAATGAAATAACTCTACCTTTAGAAATCCAGTATTGAAGAAATAGGCACACACTTCGATGAGTTAGCAAATGCTTGGGTAGAGACCCATTCTAAGCTCTTTTACTAACATACTGTTTCACTTAAACCCTTTGTTTATGTTCTAACTTCCTGATTATAGTATGTTAATAACTGACTCAAAGAGCTCTAAAAATACCTCACAGTAGAAATACAGTATTTAATGTATGAGTGAATAAAGCTAAATGAAATTATCTAAACCAAGCTCTATACTTTGATTTGAGGTAACAAATTTTGTCATTTATGCTCTGATAAACGCATTTATTCACAATCATTTTTTCTCACCTCTAACCACATTTCCTCCCACAATAGCCTAGCATTTCCATTAAATGCAGACCCCCTAACCAAGGACCACATGCTGCCTGCCATAGAGCAAGGCAAAGCCATGATAACAGAAAGCCCTTGTCAATATCCAGGTAACTGTGATGGGTTGTCTTAAGCCAAACACAATCATATCATGAATTTACAGATGAAAAGCCCAAGCAAGAAAGGCCATTTGAATCAGAGATACTCTCTGTGGCTGACAGAATAGCTAAGAAGCAGCCAATAGTTTTCACTTTGTGGTGTCTGACAAAGTAGCTTCAAAAGAGCAAATTAAACCTTTGACTGAAAATAACAATATTAAAACACCAAAAAACAGAGTAATGTAATTTTGAGAAGAAAAAGCAATCAAAATTCAAAATTTTGTTCAAACAAAAACAAAAGATAGCAGGCTAATTGGAGCCAGATAGCTCATATGAATATACAGTATTTCTAGCAAAGGAAAGAGGGTGCCAAAAGATTAGACATTCTCAGGTATTGCTCAAGCCAGATCCATCTATCCCAGAAAACATTTCATGTTTCCATGTTACATATGTCACACAGCAACAAAGATATCTCTCAGCCACATTTTATTTTCATGATTACATACGACAAATAAAAAATATGTCCAAATTCCAGCTCTTGAGATTACACTGTCAGAATATTCAAATACAGATTTTCAGAACGTTCAAACATACACTTTCAGAACTGAAAGAATATTGTTCTTCTGTACAAAAGCTGCTTAAGACAAATGGTACAGAGATGTGTGGTTTCACTTACTTGCTTTCTTATGTAGTAATTTGTGAGTAGCCCAACTTCCTTTAAAACATTCCTAAAAGAACAAACATGAAAATCTGTGTCAGGCCTTCCATAATTAGAAACATTTTAAGGAATGTTGTATATAAGAAAGTTATTGGAAATTTCATTTGCAAAAATCAAATCTGTGATTTCACTACATAAATATTTAGAAAAGCTTAAGAAAATATGAGACCTGCTTAAAAATTCATTTCAAAAAGCAGCCTAAACTTTATATTACTTCAAATAAGAAACATTAGCCTACATTGTAAATAGTAGTCATAGTTCAATTTTATGTCACCAAATTATTTTGAAATACTTCAAAAGAACCACAAGCCAATTAATCAATCATGCATTAGGAAAAAAGACAAGGAAAATTTTGCAGATTCTTTGATTATTTATAGTAATTTCATTCCCAGTCAGTCACACCCACTTTGTTTACTATGTGCTCACAGCCCTACTAAACTATGAGCTCCATGAGAGAAGGGACCATGTCAAGTTTATCGACATGTCCCCAGAGCCAAGCAGAAGGCCTGGCACACAGTAGTTTCAGTGAGGACTTGCTGACTGACTGATCAAATGGATGAATGACTAGAAAGACTAACTTTTCACTTAGGAAAATATGTTCACATAACATATTTCAGATACAGTAAAAACTACTGAACTAGGAAAAATGAGTTTGAATAATAAATTGAATTAAAGTAATGAACTTAATACATTAGAAAAATGATTCAACCAGGTATAGTTCTTATTTATGCTTTAAATTTTAGAGTCCCTCCTTCAAAGAATTTAAAATTACACAAACACACAGTAGTCTACCCCTTATCATAGTTTCAGTTTACGTGGTTACAGTTATCTGAGGTCAACTGTAGCCCAGAAATATTACATGAAAAATTCCAGAAATAAATAATTTATAAATTTAAAATTGTGCTCCATTCTCAGTAGTGTGATGAAATCTCGTGCAGTCCTGCCCAGGACATGAATCATCCCTTTGTCCAGTAATATCCACACCGTACATATTGCCCACCTGTTAATGACTTAGTAGGAATCTCAGTTGTCAAACCATGGCATTATCAGAGAGCATGTTCAAGTAACCCTTACCTTACTTAATATGGCTCCAAAGCAAAAGATTGATGCTGGCAATTAGGATATGTCAAAGAGAAGCCATCAACTTTAACATAGGTATGTACAGGGAAAAAAAAAACAAAAAAACAACAGTATATACAGGCATCCACTGGGGGTCTTGAAATGTGGGATAAGGGGAGACTACTATAAATCATTACAAATACTACGAAAATTCACAAATTCCTATACATGTTTTGATATGAATCGCTCAAGCAGGAAAGAGTTATGTTTTTTTGCAGACATACAAGAGTAAGTCATGGTTAAGAGAAAAATCTAAGGAAAAAATACAAAATAAAACATCCTTAGGACTGTGTAGTAATTGAACCACACATTACACCAGTAACACTAAGGCTATTCTCACTAAAGGTTTACCAAGGACCTCTGAGAAGTCAGTTTCTCCCTCCAGGGTCAAGATCTTAACTATTTCTCCTTCACTCTTCTTGTATCCTCACAGCCTACAACAGTTAAATCAAGAACCCAGGTCACACTTATTTCCTCCTACTACAACTTACAACAACGGACTTCAAATGTATAAGAAGGTATCCACAACATTAATGGTTTTTTTTTTTTTTTTTTTCATTTCTAAAAGCTAAAACTGAGCTCAGTCTTTTGGAAAGGATAGGAGGTATAGTGGGTAGATTAAGAGCATTCCAAAGATGTCCATGTCCTAATCCTCAAAACCTGTGAATATGCTAAACTGCAACTAAGATAAAGGGGAATTAAAGTTGTCAATCAGCTGACCTTGAGATGGGAAAGTTATCCTGTTTTATCCAAACAGGCCCAATGTAATCACAAGTGTCCTTAAAAGGTAGAAGGGGGAGGCAGAAGGAGTCAGAAAATGATATAATGATGGAAGCAGGGTCAGAGAGACATTACATTACTGGCTTTGAAGATGGAGAAAGGACACCAAGAGCCCAGAAATACAGGCTACCTCTAGAACCTGGGAAGATAATTAACAGATTCTTCTCAGAGCCTCCAGAAAGGAATGCTGACCTGCCAACACCTGACTTTAGCCCTGAGACCTGTTTCAGACTTCTGGCCTACAGAACTGTAAGATAATAAATCTGTGTTACTTTAAGCCACCAATTTTGTGGTAATTTGTTATGGCAGCTATAGAAAAACTAATACAGGAAGGAAAATAGTTATCCTTATCTGTTGTCAAAATGCAAAAACCACTCACAACTGGCAAAAAGATCAGTTCCTCCCCACCTCAGAGTTACAGGAAATTGGTAGAAAATCAAATATTTATCTATTGTACCACAAGAGTGGGAAACGATGTTTCATTGAAAAATCCCAAGATCTAAAATGGGAATAAATAATTGCGTCAGTATTACCACACCTACTACAGAATAAGAAAGGAAGTCGACATGGATCTAAAATAGGAAGACAATCATAATAAACTATAAATTACCATTTACTGAATATGTGCACTTTATGCCTATATCTAATTTCATCCTCACAAAACCCTGTAAGGCAGATGGCATTATCCCCATTTTACAAATGACAAGGCCAAAGCACAAACAAGCATGATAATTTGTCTATCACATAACAGAACCAAACCTAGCAGAACTAAGACTCAAACCCAACATTACCCGACTAAAGGTCAGGCTTTCTCACTGCTTTACAGTGTGTGGATGGGTGGGTGTTCGGGTGTGTATACTGAATTCAAAGCATCAATTCAGTAATGCAGTAGAGCCTCTGAAGGGAGCACAGCTCTGTGCTTCACGCTTGATTTACGCTCAATTTAACTGATTTTGGACTTCTGGCCTCCAGAACTGTGAGAGCATAAATCCATTGTTTTAAGTCACTCACTTTGCAGTGATTTGTTACAGCGGCCACAGGAAACTAACACGGTAACTGACAAGACATCAGGGCACACAAGAATGAATCCAATTTCTACACTAAAATAAGGTGATGGACTAAGTACAGTCTTTTTGAAGCTTTTTCCACTTACATGTACTTATTCATGGAGTCAACTCTCAATTACTCCTGGTAATTTTTAAATGGGGTGAGCAAAGGCACATGACTTATTTTAAGAACCCTAACTTCAGTCGGCAATTTCAATTTCTTCTCTTCCTCCCCATCGGAGCTATTCCTCATCACAGATATGACTGCAAAAGTGATGAGGCAGATTGGAGTTTCATTTCTTTTTCCTTCATCCAGTCTAGTCTTACGGCAATGATGTTTATGGCAATAAGACTATCAGAAAAAGATCAGGGATGGGGAAGGAAAGGAGAGAAGGGAAAAGTTCGGGGAAGGTCCTAGAACCCATGTAAGAGTCTTCCAGGCCCAGAGGCAAAACCCCACCACGACTGCATCTTTGGCATACCACTGCTTTTCTTCACTTCAAGGCCTTAACTCTAATGTTTCCTTAACACCAGACAAACCATCTCAATACCAACTACATTTGGTACGGTTGGTTGTCAGTTCATTTTCATTATGCCGTCTTAGAGTAAATCAATTAACTGCCTGCCCAGTAAGAATTATGTATGGCTAAAGTGGTTTACACTTCTCCTAGGTACTGTTACAGCCAATACTGCAGCACCACTATGAATCACTATGAACAATCTTCCCTGAAAATATTAAGGACAGATTCCTGGCACGTAAGCCCCCTTATCCGAAATCCTAAACCACTCCAAATGTTAGGTAAGCACCAGCAGTCTGTACCACCTTCAGCCTGGCTATCCCTTTTCCTGCCATCACTGAAATTAGAATATAAAGAAGATGACCATGCAAAATGAGAAAAAAATATGTCAAGCAACAAAGAAACAACTTTGAACAGAGCAGGATTAACAAAGATGCTTTTAGATACTCTTCAGCTCTACCAGTCTATAATTCCATTTTATAAGTAATTACGAAATTACAAGTTCTTAGAAATTTTAACATATGACAGTAGAAATGAATATCTCCAAATGAAGTTACGAAAATCTCCCCCAAAATTTGAGCAAAATCACAAAAAGTTGAAAATTAAAAGATATTTTTGAAACAGAGGGTTAAACCAACAAGTCTAACATCTGAACAAAACCTTCAGAAAGAAAATGGAAGAGTTCAAATAACTTAGTTTTCCATAACTGAAGGGCAATTGCCAGAGCAAAAAGGCCCCCTAAAGATGAAAATCAACTTGCCCAAAGCATATGGTTTGAAATTTCATAATACCAGGAACAAGAGAAGATCCAATAAGTTTATGGAGAAAAGGGGGGAGGGAGGACATAATATGCAAAAGATTATGAATCCCAGTGGCATCAGACTTCAACAGCACTGGAAGCTAAAAGAAAACAGAGCCATAACATAAAAATTCTGAGAAACCATTTCCAAGATAGAATTCTATATCCAGCCAAACTGAAAACCAAGCATCAGGGTATAGCAAGAAATTTTCAGACATGCAGATTCTCAAATATTTACCTCCCATACAATCTTTCTCAGAAAGCTACTAGAGAAGATATTATATAAAACACAAAAATAAATCAAGAAAGAGGAAGATGTGATACAGACAAGACAGAGAGAAGTAAAGGGAACCTCCAGGATGATGCTTGAAGAGAGATACAAGGGTGACCGCTACAAAACAAGCCCAGGCAACAAGAAGTTCTGGTTGGAGAGGATCAAAAAATCCCAAGAGAGCCATAACCAAGAAAAAACTAATTATATGACAAACGTATTTAAAAGTATTGAGAGGAGTCCTAAACAACTGTGGAAGAGAATGAGGATAAATCGGTTAACTGACCAATGGAAACTATTAAAAGACTAGGAAATAAGTAAGGGAGGAGGGGAGTCTATTTGAAATAATTTGAATAACCAACTAAAAAGTTATAAAAAATTATTTTAATTAACTATGGACATTTTGCTTCTATGATGTTGAGACATTTAAATCACCTTATTGTGAGTTATGACTGGATATAAAAACAATTTTAAATA